TTTTCCTTAGCTTATGATTTTCAGGATGGGGGGGGGGGGGGGGGGGGAGGGCATGCAAGCAGGAAAGGGCGCGAGAGAGAGCGGCGTAGGTTACCAAGCAGGCGTAGTCAACAACCACGCGGATGCCCGTCGAGAAAACAAGCGACACACAAGCGTGCAATAAGAAAACATGTACTTGTAGCGCAAAACAAACGAAACAAAAATGAAAGGCGACATGAACGATGTCGTGTAATTGTGTGTCTTGTGTTTGCGTGCCGGGCATTCCCACGAGGGGTTGGGGACGTCGGGTGTGCATGTTCGTGTGTGGTCGTCACAGAGGATAAATGCTATTAATAATACGGCTGGTCGAATGCTCTCTTGATCGGTGTCTGTCTGTCTGCCTGTCTCACCTGAAGACAGATGTTCGGCGCCGCGGCACGGATCTGCCTGAGACGCTCCCAGGGGTCCTCGTTGAGGAACCGATACGTCACGTCGAACGTCGCACCGCCCCACATCTATCACGACAAGCATTACGCACCACACACCACACAAAGGGGTGTCGTTGCCGTTCGGGCGGAGTGTTAGGCGTTGGCGGCTGTATGTACATGCATTCGCAGACAGGCACGTGTATATCGATGTACGCCCTTGTATCGTCGTGTCTTCTGTCTCCCCCCCCTTCCTTGTCGTATTCTCATACATAGCCCACACAACTTCTCCCTCTGTGTGTGTGTCTCTTTCTCTGCCTTCCCCATCTCTGTCTGTCTGTCTCTCCCCCTCTCCCTCCATCTCCCTCCCCCTCTCGTTATATCTCTCTCTGTTTTTCTGCTGTGACGTCACCTCGAGCGAGAAGGCGTTTCCGAGCAGCTGAGAGGCCAGCTTGGCCCCCTCCACCAGATCCACGGTGCGCACACGAGTCGCCAGCAGCGACTGCCAATGTCGCAAAAAACACACACACACATACACAAACACACATCAAACAACAAAACAACAACGGCCGCGGTGACAGCACACACACACCAGGTGGACGGGGCGGGGAGGTCAGGTGTTTTCATGTCGGAGTAATCTAGCTTCCGACGAAGATGACCTCCTGTGTGCCACGTCCGTTACAGCAATCGTGCATTTCAACACACGCAGAACGAATTCCGGGAGACCCCGGGTGGCGCAGCGGTGCACCATGCGGCAGCGTGCCGAGAGGGGCTTCTAACACCAGGCGTCCAGACAAATAGAGTAGAAAACACGAGACCAGAACAACAACAAAAAATAGACTATAAGGCCAGAACAGAAAAAAAAAATGTCACAAAAAAATCATCAAAAACGATCCCACCTGATAAGTAAGTGATGTGCGTTAAAAAAAAAAATCATCTCAAGACCATAAAAACATTATCACCCCCCACCTGACTAATGAGAGTTTTTAGTCAACCAAGGAACCACCCAAAACACTTCTTCCCACCTGATGTGCGTCGCGCATGGTGGTGTCGGTGACCATGACGCCCCTCTTCTGTCGCACCCACGCCGCCATGGCCTCCGGCCCCTTGGCGTCCAGCACCGACTTGGCCGTCTCCCCCGCCGCCTCGGTCGGCTTGACGTCCGGGATGGCGGGAGGGGTGGTCGTCATCCCCTGGGGCGCGCGTCCCTTGTGGGCGGAGCGCTCCCCGTGGATGGCCTGCTCGGCCAGGAAGGTGGCAAGCTTGGAGGGCTTGGTGGACGGCCTGGCCGGCCTCGACCTGCCGTTAACGCGAAAAAGAAACAATGAGCAAGACAAAGATTATTTACATCAAAAAAAAAAAAGAAAGAAAGAAAGAAAGGACTAAGCACCAAAAATCGAAACGGACGCAAGACAAGAAAAAAGAGAAACAGGGGGGCCGCAGGGGGGAACACGTGTTTTGTGCCTCTCGGGAAAGTCGTTCGGTCAAACCGTAGAGAGGATGTAGGACGTTCACCTTTCATCACATCCTCCACCAGAAACAACAAACGCCACAACAACCACCAGCAACATGTCCAGCAAAACATCCCCACCCACTCACAAGCAACGTCACCAATGACCACAACGACCCCCCCCCCCAAAAAAAAAAAAAAAGCAGCGCAAAGAAGTCGTAGCGAATCGAATCTACAAGTATTCCGGACTCTTTATCTGTGGACACGACATGCCGCAATTCGTTGTGTTTTTGTGAGGAAAAAAAAAAAAACACACGCACACGTCTTTTCATTGGTCAGCCGGTTGGCGCGGGCGACAACAATTATATAAAAAAGAAAAAAAAAAAACACACACAAAGGCCCACCTCGGCTTGGACGCCGCCGCCGCGGCTGAAACCGCGGAGCTCCTCTCTTCGGGTGCCAGGGAATCGAAGCTCCCGAGCGCGCGGAACCGCTCGTAGCGTTGCGCCACAAGCTCCTCC